TAATAATGATGAAAGATTAAAAGTGGATAAAGACATTTTAATAATTAATATCCACCAAAAGTTTGCTGTATAGAAAGATGTCTGATTAAATTTGTGAGGCAAAAATCAGTTATAGCAGAACATACTTGTAATTCCAGCCCCTGGGAAGTGGAGGTGGGCTACATAGCCCACAGCCCGGGCTACATAGCCAGACCATGTTTCAAAAACAGTAATAATAAAAATTAGAATAAAGTCATGGGTCAATGGCTCATGCCTGTAATACTAGGAACTCAAGAGGCTGAGACCTGAGGATCATGGTTCGAAGTCAGCCTATACAGGAAAGTCCATGAGACTCTTCAATTAGCCACTAAAAGTACCCAGAAGTAGAGCTATGGTTCAAGTGGTATAGCACTAGCCTTAAATCAAAAGCCAGCCCTTAAGTTCAAGACCTAGGATCAGCGCGAGCGCACGCACGCACACACACACACACATACACACACACTATCAAAAAGCTTTAAAATACTGGACCTCAAACCATAGGAAAATCGATCCATTTAAATATTTTAAGTGTTTGTTTTTATTTTTAAGATTTTTATGGAATCGATGTTAATCCTCTTTATGGAAAGGTAATGCAGATACACTGAGAATTTGACTTTACTCTTTGTGGTGTTTTAAAACAGCCTTGTCCCTGAATAATTTATAAGAAGAATCTGGAAACACTGAGTCAGATCTTCCAAGTGTCTGTCATTAAATGCAGTATTAAACAGTAGAAAGTTCAGAGAAACTTCTCACGGCACTCTCAGCAAAAGAATTCTAGCCAGGTGCAGTGATCCACACCTATAGTGTCAGCTACTTGGAAGCTGAAGCAGGATTCCTTAGGTCCCAGGGCTGTAAACCATCTTGAGCAACATAGCAAGTCCTATCTCAAAACAAAACAAGCACAAAAGGTATGATCTGGATGGTCCAAATCATTGTCCTTTCAAGGACTATCAATCACTGCTGTAGCTGTCTTTCTACCTCCTCTTTAAAAAAAAAAAGCTAATAATAGTGTCAATATTTTACATATTAAATAAGATAATAAGAAGCCCTACTCCAAAAACCAGAAGGAAAAAAGAGACTTTGGCACCCAAACTCAGATTTAACTCAGGATGAAATCAGAAAGAGCTTAGGAATCTCAGCATCATAAAATAAATCCTATCAGTGGCAGAGTAATACCCAGGGATTTCATCTGTCCTTTAAAAAAAAAATTAGTTCATCACTTCCTTCTAGAAGGTAGGTACTGAATACTCTAAAAGAAACCAATGTGTAGAATAAATATGAATCAATTTCAAATATCCCAATAAAATATCCCAATATCATTAGTAGTATTTGGGATATTTTTGGTGGAAGGTTTTTAATGCAATCACATTAAAAATAACATTTCTCTTTAACAATAAAAAGTTCCAGTTTTGATCCACTTAAGAATTCAGGGGGGAATTGGGCTGGGAAGGTGGCTCAGTGGTAGAGCACATAAGCAGAAAAAAAAAAGCCAGAAGTGGTACTGTGGCTCAAGTGGTAGAGTGCTAGCCTTGAGCTGAAGAGCTGAGGAACAGCACCCAGACCCAGAGTTCAGGCCCCACCACCAACCAAAAAAAAAAAAAGAATTCAGGGGGGAAGTGGCGCTGTGGCTCAAGTGGTAGAGCACTAGCCTTGAGCTGAAGAGCCCAGGGACAGCACTCAGCCCAGAGTTCAAGCCCCATGACTGACAAAAAAAAAAAAGAATTCAGGGACTGGGCCTCAGCTGCACTGGACATTGATGAAAACTAAGCAACTCAAGGGCAGTGATGGGAGGGAGGAAATGAGAGGAAAAAATGGAACAGCTGACACTAAACAAAAGGAAAAAATGTACATATCACCCCACGTGAAGGAAATAGTTGTGTTGTCAAAGCTCATAGAATTCACAAACTTTATAGACCATGTTAATGACAATTTGCCTCAGGAACGTTAGAATGTGTTTGTGACTTTAAGTATCACTATCTCACAATACCGTGAAATTTATGTAATCACTTAACCACAATAAAAAATTATTTAAAAAGAATTCAGGAGCTGGGAATGTGGCTTAGTGGTAGAGTGCTTTCCTAACATGCATGAAGCCCTGGGTTTGATTCCTCAGTACAACATAAATAGAAAAAGCTGGAAGTGGCGCTGTGGTCCAAGTGGTAGAGGGCTAGCCTTGAGCAAAAGAAACTCAGGAACAGTGCCCAGCCCTGAGTTCAAGCCAAAAGAAAGAAAGAGAAAGAAAGGAAGGAAGGAAGGAAAGAAGGAAGGAAGGAAGGAAAGGAAAGAAAAGAGAGAAAGAAATTCAGTACATGTGAAAGTAATAAAACAGATCAGCTATGTTGTCTCAACTGGAGTTTTAACCACATGAAGATGATCAGACATCATATCAAGGGGACAGGATAATTTATAACAAATACTAACAAAATCAAGTAGGAACTGATCATGTAAACCAGCTACCCATCACTGTTCAATGACTCTTCCTATTCTTTCCTTTTAAAGAAACTATCCTGCCAGAGGTGGTGAAGCATGCCTGTAAATCCCACCAGACAGGAGGCAGAGGCAGGAAGTCCACCAGTTTAAGGCCAGCTTAGACTTCATAACAAGACCATATCTTAAAATAATTTCCCCTCCCTAAAGAAAATATCTTGTACTATCAAATCCAGCATTAAAAAGATTGAATAGTTCCCAGAAGTTACAAGGTGTATAGATTGAAAACATAGTGTATAGATTAAACTTCCAAAATTAATTTCTAAATTCTGTGGCAGTTTTTGACTATTTTTGAAATTGCATGTCTAAATGTGGGTTTCCCCCAGAATCAGAATCTGAGACAAGGATTCAAGGTCAAGTAATTTATTTGGGCGTTTCAGAAGTGTCAGGAAGGGAGAAGGTAATATACAAAAGATACAAAAACAGTTCTGTCAACAGTTGTCTAGACTTGATATTAATACTTGATATGTATGCTCTCTCTCTCTCTCTCTCTCTCTCTCTCTCTAGTCGGTCATGGGGCTTGAACTCTGGACCTAGGAGCTGGCCCTCAGCTCTTCAGCTTAAGGCTAGCACTCTACCACTTGAGCCAAAGCATCACTTCTGGTTTTCTGGTGGTTAATTGGAGGTAAGAATCTCACAGAATTTCCTGCCTGGGCTGGCTTTAAACCTCAATCCTCCTGAGTAGCTGGGATTACAGGCATGAGCCACCAGTGCCCTACATCTCTCCCATTTTCTGACTACCCAATTCATATATTTCATAGTGAAGGCATCTACTCCTAAGCTACAAAATACATAATTTAATTTTACCCAAAGTTGTAGCTCTCTCTTTGACTTTACTTTGTACTCTCAATAAATTAAGATGTATGTTTTAAATTCCTTAACATCAACTTTGCTTCAACTATGCCATTTAAAAAGACATGACTGTGACAACAGACATAAGGGTCTACAATACAGCTATGAAAAATGATCGCTGATCCACACTGCAGAGGCTTGGGCCACACCAGCATCTGGAGAAGCCTTTACTTTATTAGAAAAGATTCTGGTATCCCCAGATACAAAGTACTTGGAAGGAAAGGACAAATTTAAGCGGCAAGAAGCACTTTCAGTAAAATGTCACTCCCCTTGCTTACAATGAGTATAGCCTTTTAAAAACTTATTGAAATGATTTGGAAAGACTTAGAAATAGTTAGAATTCTAATTCTCATTGAATAGTCCAATCTAATTATGGTTCTTTTTAGTCTATAGGGACAAACCTGAAATAAATTAGTAATGTAAAGTTTTTTCTTCAGTCTTATTGTTAATAATAAAAAAAGAAAAAAAGAAAAGAAATAGATGATACTATGCATGGATAAAGCTTATCTACCTTGACTAATATATGCCTTATAATTTATGTAAAAATCAATTCTGAATATCTTTCTTGACTAATACATGCCTTATAATTTATGTAAAAATCAATTCTGAATATCTTGACTAATACATGCTTTATAATTTATGCAAAAATCAATTCTGAATATCTATCTTGACTAATATATGCTTTATAATTTATGCAAAAATCAATTCTGAATATCTATCTTGACTAATATATGCTTTATAATTTATGTAAAAATCAATTCTGAACTGGGAGTCAGTGGCTTATACCTGTAATCCTAGCCACTAAGGAGGCTGAGATCTGAAGATCCTGGTTTCAAGTCAGCCCAAGTGAGACTTTCCAATCAACCACTAAAGATCTGAAGTGGAGCTGTGGCTCAAGTGGTAGAGTACCATCCTTGAGCACAAAAGCTCAGGTAAAGTACCTAGACCCTGAATTCAAGTACTAGGACTAGCACACACACGTGCACGCGCACACACACACACACACACAAATCAGGTATCACTGACTGCCAGAAATGACACATCTAAATATTTGTATCTTTATGCTCCAAATTGCTGCTTCACAAACTATCTAGGGAAAGGACCTTTGCTTTTTCTATTACCAACCTATCATTGACTAATAGTTTGGCAAAATAGAAAGTGAAGTTTTAGAAAATGTTTTTATTTAATTTTTGTTTGTCGTGGAGCTTGAATTTAGGGCCTGGGCACTGTCCCTGAGCTCTTTTGCTCAAGGCTAATGCTTTACCACTTTGAGCCACAGCAACACTTCTGGTTTTCTGGTGGTTAATTGGAGCCTAAGCTTGCTTTTAACTGTAATCCTCAGCTCTCAGCCTATTTTTCATTATGGTTAGATTCAACGGATTTTCATTATTATTAATAGATTCAACATACAAACTGACTTGTCAAGTTTCACTCTCAGCCTCAATGTTTATCTAGTCTGCTAAAAGATTCTTGTGAAGAGCACAGGTTTAGAACCACACCTTCTCCTCTTGAGTGCTGGAGACTGGGACTCGGGGCCTTGAGTATGCTATGCAAGCACTCTACCACTGAGCCTCCTTCATCACACTTCAAGGAGTACCAATCAAAAGTACCATGCATGTATTTATTCAAGATGTATACTTTACCTCTGACATTCTTTCCAAATCCCATAGAAGAAACTTTTTTGTCCACTTGTTCATTTGCATTTGATTTCTCCTTCATAACATCATCATCACTAACAACGTCAACGGAAAATTTTTTTTTCTTCTTTTTCTTGTGTCGAGGTGGAAGCTTTTTTGGAAAAGTAAACATTGGGAATATCACAAGAAACATTGCAAAGGCACAAAGGAGGAATCCACTCCACCTAAAAAATTGGGAAATGTGAATAGCATTTACAGCTTTTGTTTGCTGACTGAGAACAAATTAGCAAAGTAGAAGCTTGCAGTAATAAAATCTCCAAAGAAATCTTTTTACCTTCATCAACTGTAAAGCAACAAAGAAAAGAAAAAATTGGCCAAACTGAGAAAATAAAGGTATTTTTCCCTTTCTGTGGTATGATTAGGAAATCCACTCAGCAATTATACTATTATAATCACAGATAATATAATCAGCAGCCAGATTAGAATTCCACTCAAGTATTTTTCTGTAGCTACCTGTCAGTTCTGCTAACATCAGTTGGCTATCTTATAATGTGGATTTTATAAGAAGCTTAAAAGAAAAATAATGAACACTTGATAGCATGCTGTGTGAATCAATATAGACATTTTTCTTAGAAGTATTAATATTTAATGTTATATATATTTTGTTTGTTTGTCTTGGTGGTAGCAATTGAACCAGGGAATTGTATATGCAAAGCTAGTACGCTGACACTAAGTTATACTCCATCCCAGGTCAAATTTATTTTAAACTTAATTGGTGGGATGACAGGGATATAGCTCAGTGGTAGAGTACTTGCTTAGCATGCACAAGGCCCTGAGTTGGACCCCCAGCAATGTAAAAACTAGTGGGGAATGGGAGAAAAGAAAACAAAGAGAAAGGAAGGGAGAGAGAAAGGAGCAAAGGGGGAAAAGGAAGAGAGAAAGCGAAAGAAATTTCATTACCGATGGTATTCAAATATTTTTTGAATATTTGGCCCTTCCTAGTTGGTCTTCACAATATTAAACTCTGTATGAGAGCTACCAAAACATTTGCAATTGTTCTTGCTTTCAAGAACTGGTCACATAGGTACAACCAAGCTAAAATACAAGAAACATTCTCCAAGAAATGCAAGAATACAATTGTGTATTAGAGCATGGTATAGATTATGAATGCTATAAAAGCCCAAAGAGGGGAAATCAATGTGTCAGAAAACTTCCTAGATTCTGAGCAATGTAGACTCCCAACATTGGGTATAGAGCCTGAGCTGTGTAAACTCAGAGAGCTCATGGAGATTACCGAGACTAGAACCTAAATTCCACTTGGCCCATGTGTTACGGCCTGGAGCTTCATACCTACACAATTCCACATAAGGCGATTTCTTAGATCCTTTGCCATTCCTGAGCAAGCAGAGGTCTATGAGCCTATCTAAAAGTGTGGCAACTTCCAAAGATTCCTCAACTCCAACTCTGCCTTTAAGGATTCCATGTTAATAAAACTCCAGCTCTGGCCTCTGTATCAACCTGTCCCTATTAGTAATATCCAGTTTGTGGGCAGCCCAGGAATGTTGAATTCAGCCCAGGAAGAACACAAATCAACTACAAAATGAAAACTCATTATAATGTCTTTCTATTAAATATTGTCATAGGGTAACGAAGGTCACAGTTTAGTCGGGGGAAAAAAAAGATTCCTAGAACCATTTAGTAATAATCCAATGTGGTACTGTCAATGAGGTAAAAGTATACCAAATGAGGTCTGGGAAGGTGGCTCAGTGGTAGAGCACTTGCCTCGCATGCCTGAGGCCCTGGGTTCGATTCCTCAGCACCACATAAGCAAAAAGAAAAAAGCCAGAAGTGGTGCTGTAGCTCAAGTGGTAGAGCGCTAGCCTTGAGCTGAAGAGCTGAGGGACAGCGCCCAGGCCCAGAGTTCAGGCCCCATGACCGGACCCCCCCAAAAAAAAGTATACCAAATGAAAAGTTTAAGATAATAACAAAAGAGCTTTACTTTGGGATGATTGCTAAGGACAAACTTCTAGCGATTCCATTTATTCAGAACATTATTACCAACCTAGTGCAGACTAGATAACTCAAAAACATTGATGAATAAAGTGAAAGAGATAGGATGCTTTAAAAACAGGGGGGAGGGGTCATCTGTTTGCTGGGAACATAGCTATGTCATTATCTGTCTAGATTCCTTAATACTTGGCTGCTTCCAGGCTCTGGCCAATCAGTGTACCACCCATTTCCATTTACCATTCTGGAAAATCTCTCCATTCATCCTATAATAGTTTCCTAAAATCCAACATCCTCTCTCCAAGAGTGGTGGGCCATGGAATGGAGGGGCTATTGTATGAGCTGTGGTTTCACACACGCCCTGGCTTGTATCCCATCCTTATCACTTACTAATGACAAGATCATGGGGGAAACTATCATGCCTTTCCACTTTGACTTTTCCCACCTCAAAAGAAGGGTGAGAAGTCACTAGTGAAGTCTAGAATTAATTAAAATTGAGTTAATTAATTTAAACATGATATATAGAATGAACCTAATGAAATGCCTGCTACGAAATCTGTAATTAATTCATGGTAATTAGCTTTGATTAATTGCTTTTGAGTGATCTGCTCTCAGCCTTACTCCTCCACCTCCCCACAGCCACTGATCTAAAATTTTATGCAAATCTTAACCATATGGTCTTATTAGACCAAAGTGAGAGCACATCCCAGAAGAAGGGGACAGATTATAGCACACATATAACAATACTATAAAAGTCTAGTCATTTCAAAACAAGAGCAAAGTAAGCCCACATTTTTCAATACTATAGTGTTTAAAACATAGATAATAAATGTGATCATGATGGATACTGAGAATATAACTGAAGAAGACAATGGTAAAAGCTGAGTGGGACAGGAAAGTATGTTGTATGATGACAATGGCTAAAATTGAAAGGCCAGAGTAGAAAAATTCATTTTGTGAGTCATTCAGGGCACTCATGAAGGGCAATCATTGCTGACAGTAGCAAAGAGTTCTGCCCTGGAGTCTATTTCTTAACCTAGCACTCTCTAACACAAAGGCTTTGGGCAAATAATTCAACTCCCTGAGCATTAGTTCCTTTACCTGCAAAATGGGGATAATAGTAGTGACTACAGGTGGCTCTACAATGCTTAAATAAATGTTTATAATGCTCTCATTATAATGAACAATACATAGTAAGCACCTAGTAAACACTAACATTGTTCCTTTCTTCCTCTCTCCTTCCTTCTTTCCTCTTTCCTCCTTTTCTTTCTTCCCTCCCTCTTTCAGCATCTATTTAATGCATTGTATCAAATAACCATGCCTTTATTCAAGGTGCTTTGACAAACAGGACTCTTAAATAATCCAAATTCAAATTCATTTCTAATGTAATTTTATTTTTACTATTAAGTTCCTATACAGAAGGGTTACCATTTCACAAATCAGGTAATGAGAACCTAGACACTGTCACCCCTTCCTTTGCTTCAAACTCATTTTAAATAGACATTATACAGCTCTTTATCATTTATAGAACTAATATTGAGCGGGGAGCTGATGGTTTATGCCTGTAATCCTAACTAATCAGAAGGCTGAGATCTGAGGAGCGTTCAAAGCCAGCCAAGGCAGGAAAGTCCCATGAGGCTCTTATCTCCAATTAACCACTAGAAAACTGGAAGTGGAGCTGTGGCTCAAAGTGGCAGAGCATTAGCCTTGAACTAAAGAGCTCAGGCACAGCACTCAGGCCCTGAGTTAAAGCCCCATGACCAACAGGAAAAAAACACACACACACACAAAGAACTAATAGTGAGCTATAAAAAAATGGATATATTGTTTGAATTCAAAGGACTGTAGATTTAGCACCTGAAAAGCAGGTGCTGGAACCACTTAGAGCTCTCCACAAATGAACTCAGTATTCCTTACTATAATCCAATCAAGAAGGTATTATAACTACCTCATATGTATTACAAAACAATGAAGGCACATGGAAGTCATTTTTCCAAAGCCATTCAATGCTATTTAGGTGCGAAATGGGAACATATAGCTTTAGGGTCTACACTCCAATTAGTTGGATTGTTCTCTGTGTACTAGAAAAGTTTTGTCAGCACAAAGCACTCATAGAACTAAAGCTCCTACTCCCCTGCCAGGCCTTCAGTTATTTATCCTCATCTTACTTTCATTCCCATTGTTCCCTTATCACCACCATATCCTCGGGACATTTAACTAGGACACAGATACATTAGATATCCATAAGTATATGTTAATAATCTAATTTTCTTTTTTTATTGTTATTACAAAGGTCTGATGTACAAAGTGATTACAGTTACATAAGTCAGGTAAAGAGAACATTTCTTTTTGAAGAACATTATCCCTTTCCTCTCTTTCTCTCCCAGTTCATCTAATTTTTTTATCATAAAAAACTATCCCTACTCTGGTTTATTTCAGAATTGTAAAGAAAACAGCTAAAATTTCACCGTCAAGAACTTAAAACTCCTGTGTTCATTCCCCATCACTGACAGGGTAACTCTTTTTCATATGATTAAACAATCTTACCAAGCCAAACTCATCCGTACCTTAATGCTTCCAGTTTCAATGAGGAGTACTTACAAGAATGAAAGGTGTTGCATAGCCTAATTCATATTTACTAACTGCTTAGAAACCTGAACTAACCCTTTTCCTACCAATCTTATGGTTGTGTGGTCTTTTTTCTACAATCAAATGAAGAAAACTGGGAAAAGCATTCTAAGCAACTCTTTTTTATCTAAGCAACCCTTTAGAAAGTAATTGTTTGATATTTGTAATCCATAAGACGCAGTATTATCTTTTTCCCAAAAATGAATGTCAAGTGTACTTAGGACACTAATATTTTCAGCTCATGCTTTTGTGATTATGAAGAAATAATCTATACTTGAGGACCATGCAGATTTCCCACACATCTTTTGTTATTCATATGAGAATAATATCCACAGTTGAAGTTCTCTTCCTGAATCCTAAACATTACTTATTTGGCAGATAATTAAGGTTCAGAAAGTGAGAAAACAGCTAAATCACATGTGGAGAAACAGAATAATAACAGAGAAAAAATTTGCTAAGAGAGTGGCAATGCAGAAGTAGGGCTAGAGTTCTGGACCATGGGAGAAGATTGTAAAACAGAAATACAAGTACAATAATGAGAACAATCATTTTTAAGGCAATGAAAAGGAAATAAAAAATAGGATTAACCAGGAAAATCCCATCCTAACTACAGCAGCCGCCTTCTTGCACACTGCTCTGAAGGACATAGCCCAGACCTGGAGAATGTGGATTAAGATACTGCTACGAGTATTTTATCTCTGTACTGGTTTCCTGTTGCTGCTATAACAACCATGCACTTTAGTGGCTCAAATAACAATGGAATGGCTAGGGATGGATTACTTCTGAATATTCTAGCTAAGGGAGAACCTGTTTTCTTACCTTTCTCACTTCTAGAGTTCACCTGCATATCTTCACACACAGACACTTCCTCTATCTTCTAAGCAAATCACTCCAAATCCTGCTTCAATCAACATATCTCCTTGTCTAACTCTGGCCATCCTGTCTACTTCTTTCCTTTGGTTAATAATCTTAGCTGATTCCCACATTAAGATCCTTAACTTGATTACATCTGTAAACTCTCTTTTACTATAGAAGGCAACATATCCATAGGTTCTAAGATGGTACATACTGCCCACTCTCAGGTAAGTTTTAGCTACTTTGCATCTCTAAATGAAAAAAATTAAAGGGTGAGAAGTAAAATCCAAAACTTAGCACATAATCTTACCAGTTTCCAATAAAACGAGGGTCATTCTGGTCAAGGTGAACAGGATTTCTGGGATCAACATAAAAACCAATAAGAAGTCCACCTAATAAATATCCAACTGCAGGGCCAAGTGCTCCCATGACATACATGATGGCTGAAAAGACAGAAGGGGAAACGTGAAATGCAGCAATATTTCGTACAAGTGCAAATCATTATTTAATTTCACAGGCCTCCTGCACGCATGCCATGCTTCAGCCCAGGCAATGACTTCTGAAGTGCTTATGTTGACATTGGGGCTTCAAACACTTGACTTTTTTTCCCCACTGTTACCTGTTATGCTCTTAGAGCATTACCCAGAGAGCTTTGGGATTTCTTTTGGTTTTATTTTTAAATATAAGTGTTCAAGTTTTATCCTGGAACCACCTCAAGGCAAATTTTGGAAAGTAGACACCCAGGCTAGTTAATGAGGAAGTCACTGAAATGAAGGGACACAACAGAAATGAAGGGACACAGGGTGAACAAATGCAGCAGTGCTACTCACTAGACACTGTGTTGGAAAAGAACTACACAAATTGAGGGTAGAGATGGGAGGGGAAAACTGGAAGAAAGTAAGAGAAGGGGTGACATTGTCCAAAAGGAAATGTATACTTTTCCTGACTTACGTAACTATAACCCATCGGTACATCATCTTTATAATGACAATAAGAAAATAACAATTTTTTTAAAAAAGGAAGCAAAGGGAAGGGAAGGGAAAGGAAGGGAAGGGGAGTCTAAGGAAGATAAAGAAGATAAAGAAAAAATGAAGGAGCCACTGTCATTGCAGGAAGATAAGGAGACTCGAAGTCAGATTGCCCTTGGGACTGGTTTAGCTGAATTGTCACAGCTGCTCAAGTATCCTCCAATTGTTAATATTTTTCTAATCAGCATTCCAGATTCATATCGTCAATGGAGAAACCTTTTTTTATTTTATTTTATTGTAAAGATGCTGTATAGAGGGGTTACAGTTATATGAGTAAGGCAATGAGAACATTACTTTTTGACCATTACCCCTTCCCTTGTTGTTGTCCCACTATCCCTTCCCTCTCCCACCTCCCAAACTTCTCCCCACCCCACCCCCAAAATTGTAAAGTTCGTTTCCAATATACTGTCCTGTGGGTATCCTTGTTGCAATGGGTCATCCTGTGTCCTTGTTTCCGCATTTTGTTATTCCCCTTCCTCTCCC